AAATTAGTTTTATTCTTTGCAGCTTATTCACTGAAACAGGGGGAGAAAAAAAAAAAAAAGTCCCAATGGCTCCCCTGCAGGCGGGCTGTCTGAAGTGTCCGTCAGTGGGCGGGGCTTCAACCCTGCGTGACGATGACGTCACAGGCGCAACTGACCCCGCCCTCGCGAGACCAGCGGACAGAGGATGAAATAACAGAAAGGAAGCAGGGTCATTCTGATAGAAACCAGCAAACACAACCCTGTTTATGACTATGCTTAGCCACAAGATATGAAAATAGCTTCTTCTTTTTCTCAGATAAACTGAATGCATTCACCAGGAAGGAAAATGCGTTTATAAAAATTAATTTATCGTTCTTCTGACAGATGCTGCTTGAAAACAACATCGAATCGTGTGTTTACCGACGTATCCTGTGTGAATACTGGGCAGCCGTGGCCATATGCTTGAAAACAGTACAGCAAAAAACGAACATGAATGCAAAACGCATAACAGCAGTGAACAGAGAGAGAGAGAGAGAGAGAGAGCGCAAAGGGTCACAGCAATGACAGCTCGGATCAAGGGTATTACCAGCTCTCAAATCACTAAAATAACCACAGCCTGTATACATCAGCCCTAAATATCACATTCTCTTCAATAGTAAAGCCGGTTTCATCAAAATCCGACGGATGATAAACGAGCTGCTGCAGATACAGGCTTGTCCCTGACGTAAAATATCAGAAATCAACCCCAAACGTCGACCTGAAAGCACAATATTGGCATGATCAATGATTGGCTATTTTAGGACGACTTCTGTAAGAAAAGACAGGAGAAAACCATCGACTGGCTTGGTTTAGTTACTGCTACGATCTGTGTGACCAGAGCAAAACAATGATGATGCTGTCGTATGACAAGAGAATAAAACAGCTCAGATCCATTTATGGACAATCTGCAGTTTATGGACAGATGTTATTAGCGCTTGCTTTCTACAAGGCAGGTCTGATCTAGTCCAGACTAAATTCTGCTCTGCTCCGAGACAGATCTCGCTTTAAAAGACTGAAAGAGATCTTACCTGTCTTACCTGCAAAATTATTCAAGATGTAAACGCGACGACCACACAATAAAAAACACAAAAATCTTAAAGCATAGCTTTAGGTATTCTCTTTATATGAGGTAGTAAATTCACAAAAAAAAAAAAAAAAAGTCTTTCTTCTCAGAAGAAATCTGCGTGTAAATTCTGGTTTACACGTCGTTTCAGTCGGAGCATCTGCAGCTTGTCTGTGTGTGTGTGTGTGTGTGTGTTTCCAGCAGATATGGTTTGTGGTGTTATTGCTTCAGCTGATCCGCAGATCACAATATAGAACGTTCAAAACAGCTGATTGTGACGTCACGGCGCTCGTAGCAACGGCCTGACTCCGCCCACTCCGGCCGCTGGACCAATCAGAGGGTTACACCAGATCCAGCGCTGTAAGTGAAGCGGTGGGGGCTGGGCAGATAGTGGGGTAAGGCTAGAAGGGAGACTGCAAAAACTACTGGGCATGCGCGCATCAATATAGCGTCATTTTTCTTACACTGTACAACAATAATGACTATTTTTGCATTATTGTAAGGGGTAGGTTTAGGGTTGGGGTAGGTGTAGACGTTAATAAAACACAATCTAATAGGTAGAACAATTAATTGATAGTTAGCTTCCGGGTTTTGCTGTATTCCTTCTAGCCACAACCCAGATAGTGCTATCAGCGATTCCTAGGGTCATATAGTTATTAAAAAATCGCTTATGAAATCGCACAAATCTACAGTCAGCCTTAGAGGACAGACAGCATTTAATATGGCTTGTGTTGTTTTTATCTTGTATAGAATAATGCTGAGCAAGAATAAAGTTATATAGATGTTTACACTGTTAATAAAATTATTTTGATCTAGCGAAGTTGAAAATCATTCAAACTGTGGAGTCAGAATTGTGTAACCATGGAAATAAAGGCCACGCGAGCTGTGGTTAAAGATATGAAGTGATTTCACAGACTTGCATCATTCCTTTGATTATACTGTCATTGCCTTTGGCTTGTTGAAGGTGCCGGGTTGAAATAATGTCACTGGTCTGGCTTTGGCTGGTACGGTGCATGTCTGGTACTGCAGGTAATATGGTGTTATGTGAGCTCTGTCTCTTTAAACTGTGTTTGTAAATATTGCCTGTCCCTCTCTCTCCACATTCCACACTATGGGGGCGGGACATAGACTGCCACGTGTCACAAGTAACCAATCACAACTCTTGGTCTGAACACAGACATGTCAGCAATATGGAAAACCTTTGGAAAGGCCTTGATGGTTGACTGGCGTTTTTAAGATTCAGGGTCTTTAGATAGTAACTCAGATTCATTTCACTTGCATCTTTGCTCTAACACTGGCAGACAGGCAATAATTGTTTGGTGATTACACATGAACAACATTCTGACTGCATGCATTTTAGGATTATGAGAGAGACAAATTTATAGATCAGAATATTATAAAGAACTTTAAAGTGGCCTCTTTTAATTTGAGTAAGTTATCTAAGAGACTAAAATCACAGTAATCACACAGCATTGCCCTTGTTAGTTCGTTCGTTCTTCCAGTGATCACAAATAAATGCATGTGAGAACAGCCAAATATTATAACCTGTTCATCAGAGGAATGTGATATGTAGCCACCTCCACATTCCCACATCCATATACTAGAGATGATACTATTACATATGCCAAAACAATGACACCCTTCCCATAATTCCTCCCTTTCTCTGAGTCACCTGGTGATTGGTCTTCTACACCCTGGATGTGGTTGTCATTACTATTGAAATAATAACAATACGCTTGGACATGATCCTGTATAAAACTGCTAGAACAATAATTAAAATGAAACAACTGAATAAACACAGACAAAAGCCTCCAGTCTGTACATTTATCTGACACCTGCCCTACAGAATCAAACAGGCACGGCACAACATGCCCTGTTTCGTACACGTGTAGTGTTTGGTACGTGATATAACATATTGAGCAAACAGAGTGTTCTGCCACCGGAATGTTTCACAAGCATAAATGTTCACACACACACACACACACACACACACACACACACACACACACACACACACACACAGGGACTCTCCATAGACATATTGATGTTTATATGGTACGACCTTTATATTTGATCTTCTAACCCTAACCCTCATCATTTAGTGTGATTTATAAACTCTTTACTTCATGATTTCCTTCATTCTTTCCCGATATTTTGGTAACTACAGCACATCATGAGTGTACATTAGCACCATTTGTTGTTTGTTTTGGAATCTGATAGAACATTTGGTCCCAGAAATAGTGAAGCATGACATTAACAAATGGATGATCTTTATTTTATGGAACATGGGGGGAAATAAGAAGGAGCGCGTGTAATTTAATTGCTCCCTTCCTGCGTTTAAG